ATGCCTTTTCCCTAGTCTCACAAAACACAGCTCAACACAAAGTCCAGCACTTCAAAGAAAGAAGACTGAGTATTAATATTATGCCCCCATAAAGAAAATCAAGCCTTCAGAAGAATGGCTCACTCAACAGAAAGAAAGACACTGAAGAGAATAAGCATAGACACTCACAGAAGGTGCTAGCGGAGTTCCTCCTATACATACCATACCCTGCTGCTCAGAGCATGTGAGGGATCCACACATGGCTTTCCAAAGTGATAAACTACGGTCCTGTGGAGCAGATGATCTCACTAACCCCAAACCATCTCCTGAATGCCATGTCCCTGACACATTTTCAGCAGTTTATGCAGCACTCTGAGTTCAGTGGCTACAGTTTGGGAACCATGAGCTGCTAAGAGGCAGAGTAAGAAGAGGCAGAATGCAGGTATTCCTGGAAAGTAACAGGCAGCAAGGACCTCCCAAGAAGCAGGGCGGGGAGTGTGGAGGGGGAGATACACGAATGGCAGAAGACTGAAAAATCACAAGTGAGGCAATTTATTCTTAATCTTCATGATATTCTCACTTTCTCTTTAAGGTAAAAGAAGATATTTGTTTCTTCTTTTCTCTGAAACAAGACCAGCTCCACGTAACTGGGTCCAGTGAAGTGGAGTCATTTAAAACACAATAATGATAGTACCAGTCAAGAGTAGGTAAATGCTGTGCTCGCTTCCTCTCATGACCACATCAAAATTATAACTAAACTATAGAACAACCATCACTGAAAATCTCCTGAAGTCTAGCTGAACAGAAGTACCATAACTAAGGATATACAGAAGCAGCCACGTTAAGACTGATAAGAGGGGCGGAGACACGAAACAAGCTGGTCCCACACCTGTACGTGGCAGTTAACTGTCAGGAGGGATATCTCAGCTGTGGAGGTCCCCCCTTGAGGAGTGAGGGGTCCCAGCCCCACATCAGGTTCCCTAGCCCAGGGTTCCAATGCTGGGAAGAGAAGTCCCCACAACTTCTGGCTCTGGAAACCAAAGGAGATTGTGGCTGAGTGAGACAGAGGGTGGCTGGAGCCCCAGGTGTTCCACTTAAAGGGACCGTACACAGACTCACTGATAAACTTACTCGCTCTGAGTTCCAGTGCTGGGGCAGCAGCTCGAAAGACATCAAGGACATACAGGGAGGAACTGAATTGTCTTGCTTCAGGACAAGGACTGAAGGGGAAGCTTTCTCCCAGAGAGAAGTGCTGGGAGAAGCCATTGTTCCTTTGTTGAGCCCTTCCCCAAACTAGCCTGCACATGCAGGTGGGCTGCATATCTGAGTCATCATCAACCTGGCTAACACAGCTCACCCCATACTGGTGAGTCCCTGAGACCCTGTCCCTT